TGAAAATGGTGTATGTTATGTCAAACTCAGCAAAGCATTATTTGACAAAGTTATTTTTAAGATTCCAGAAATAATGATAACATGAGCAGGACTTATGAAAAGTTCGACCGGGAAATATACGCAATAAATTTTAATAAAGGCTAAATAGCTAAATTAAATAAATTCGTCATTTAGTTGATTTTGGATTCAGGGAGTGCTCAATTATTTATGAATGTGGCGCAAGATCCTCAATAATCTTGTATCCAGAATCATCGAGTCATTTGCGGGTTTGTCCAATCGTGACGTAGTTGTAGTCAATTAAATTTAAATTGCGAGGTATGTTGTAATTCGACAGTTGTAACTGTTTTGACACCTTTATAATACTGGGGGTGAAGTGGCACGCTGTTATAATAGGGTCATAAGTTTATAACGACAGACTTACACGAATTCATTCAATGCGTTTGTCCAACAAAAATCACGAAGTAGCGCAAACCGTACTAGGTCGATCTTGCTCAGATCAGAGAGGGTTCAGCGTTAACAAGTTGGGGTAACCGTTGTTTCCCCGGTAGTCCTTTGTGATCGTTAATTGACGGAAGATTGGGTCACAATCTCAAACTTTTCTCCTTTGTCTTTGAGGCTGCTGACAAAAAAACTGTGGATATACTGCCGAGTAAAGTGCGCTTTAAATGTTTCCTGAATCAATTCACTTCTCAAAATAAACAAATAACCATGTGTATAATGTGTTAAATCTGCTGCTCTAGTTCTGGTCTGGAGGTTGCTGCCTGTCCCCAGAAAAGGAGGTGCGTTATTGACAGGTCCGTTACACGCTACGATAATTTGACAGGTAGATTTCTCGCGTGGTTAAAATGAAGAGGCTGAATTTACTGAATGATTCAGATTGATGATCACTTATGGAATTGCGCAGTTTGATAGTTTGTTGATGGCAGACTGCTGCCATCGTCTAGAAATAAATTTATGAGAAGCTGCTTCAGTGTACGCTGAACTTCACAAATACAGTAGCTACTTAGTTGCACAAGGCTGAATCTTCATTCGTCTTTACGTTTTATCGCTAAAATTTTCGTAGAGTCGAGTAGAGTCATAAAAGTCATCGTAACTGCTCTTTTTCATGGCAAGATACAGGATTATTGGTTATTCAATAATTGATTCTGCGAATAACTGCTGCTGTTAATGACTGTTCAATATATTCATTTGGGACTGTAAAGTTGCAGTATTTCCATTCACTAGCTGTCTATTTTCCAATTGTGTAGTAAGCAGAGTTTCTACATTGCTGATATCTTTAATTGCATCACCCAAAGCATCTTTACTACAGAGTTACAACTAATACAATAACCGTATGTTTCTGCCATAGTGGAATAATTGCCAAGATGATACGTAACAGATGTATATATGAGTGATTGTTATATATTACGGGATATGTACATGCCCATTACCTGTATATTTTACTCGTTTACTACCAGCTGCCGTTAGTACTTACTTCTTTTATTAGTTGCTTGTGTTGTAAATGTGCGTGCAGTTCTTTT